CAGGGACGGGGCTGCTCCCTGCCCGGTGAAGCCCCCCCTACCCCAGCTCAGATCGACACCGTGGTGCATACCAGACCGTGCGTCTTTATTTAGAAGCGCCGACCGCTCTCACCGGGAGCCGGCGCGGCACCGGCGCAGCGGGTTCAGTTGGTAGAGGGTCTGCAGAGGAGACAGAGAGTGCGGTAAGGAGAGGGGCTCCCCCAATCCTCCAAGCCATGCCCCCCAGCACTTACTTGGCCCATTCCACATTGAGGATCAGGTGGTCGTAGCCAAATCCGGAGACCCCAGCAATAGCCCGGGCCGCATCCTCCCGGCGGTGGAAGCTGATGAAGGCAAAACCCTGGGATGGGAGGGAAGTGAGAGGGTGAGAGGAAGCGTGAGGGTCTCCTCAGCTCCCCCCCACCCCTGAAGGGGAAAATCCCTCTGTGCCCACCTTGGACTGCCCGGTGGTCTTGTCCTTGGCTAAATAAATCCTAGAGATGGTGCCAAAGGGCCGGAACAGCTCCTGGAGATCAGTCTCACGCGTGTCCTCGGACAGGTTGGTGACACGGATGGTGGCGTTGTCGTCGGCTGGGGAAGAAGGGGGAAGGAAGAGGAAGTTGAAGGCTGTGGCACCACGGAGGCCCGGCTTCAGGCACAGCCAAGGCGTGGGGTGGGTGCATGGACTCCCCGCGGCGGCTGGCTCCATCTCTCAGGCTGGGGGGGACGTATTTGCCCGTCTTGCTCTGCTGAGCCTGCACTGGCTCCGGCTCTGAGGGCAGGAAAAGCGACGGGCAGGAGATGACACTACCTGCAGTCGCAGGCAGACAGCGACCCCCCCCTCCTTTGCCCCCCACATCTCAGGATAAAGGGGTGCCGTACCTCCAGGCAGCTTCTCCTTCTCGCCTGTGGACAGCCCCAACTGCTCGGCCAACTCCTTCTGCATCGGCCCCAAGGTGTCCTTGTAGGGACAGCGGGTGGTCCAGTGGTCGCCCTTGCAGATACGGCACGAGACGATCTTCTGCCCCTTCAGCTTGTTCATGGGATCCTCCTCCTCCTGGCAGCTCAGGTCCTGGGGGACAGGGAGATTCCTGAATCCCGTGGGATCCACCACACAGCCAGGCATGGCCTCACCGGGGGCTCCCCACCGGCCTGCGAGCTCCCGCCGTACCCAACCCACCTCCTTGCTGGTGATGAAGGTCATGAAAACGTCATCGCTCACAGTGGTGGTGGCCACGTTTGGTCCAGGGGCGTCGAACTCTGAGTTGCCAAATTTCTTCCAGTTCTGGGGAGAAAACAGGGGAGGAAAAAAAAAAAAAAGAAGCTCACTCACCCAGCATGTCCCCAAGCAATCGCTGAACCCAGAGCAGGAGCAGCCAGCGGGAAGGGAAATGCTCCCCACTGAGGGGTGGTCGGGAGATTAAGGAGGAATGGACAGTAGCGGAGGGGCTGGGAGACGAAGTGGTTCCTGCTGGAGTGCAGCTTTCCCTCCCAGTGGAAGCAACGCTTGTCCCCCCATCTCGCCCTTCCTGCAGGAGACGCTCACCTTCCGACGGGCCACTGCCTTGGAAGCCTTCCTGGTTTCGATGCGGAAGGTGCGGATGATCTGTAAAGGTGTAAAAGAACGGATCATTGCAGGAGGAGGGATGGCAGACGCGCCTCCGCCCCACATATGCTACGTTTGAGGCTGTCCAAAGCAGCAGAGTCAAAATACGGCTCCGACGGGATGTCCCTGATGACGTGTGGCTGCTGGGCGCTGCCCGAATGCACAGGCAGGGATCAGCCCCTGCGCCGGGGCTGAGCTGGGGGCTCTGGGAGGGGAGAAGGGGAGCTTGGCAGCGGGAAGAAGCCAAAACAGCAGCCTGGGACATGCCTCTCACCTTCACTTTACGCCCATCCTCCTCCTCGCGATACTCCGTAATGGTTTTGATGTTCCCGTTGATGAGCTCTTTTGGGGAGGGGAGCGGGCCTGTGGAGAGGGAGGACAGTGGGACAGTGTCCGAGGTGGGGGAGGAGGCAGCAAAAGAGCCCCCCAGGCTCTGGCCCAGCTCTCACCTCCCTTCAGCAGCTCGGCCTCAGCGCTCAGGCTGCCCCCCAGCACCCCTGGCAGGGGGATGTCCTTCAGCAGCTCGCTGGTGATGCATTTGTCTGCGGGAAGAGAAAGGGAGAGTCACCCCCATGCTTGGAGTGAGCCTGGCAGAGGGGGAAGGAGCCCCGCAGCCAGCACAGCCGCTCCCCGTAGGGAAGAGGTGCCCTGCTCTCCCACCCGAGCATGGGAAAAGGCCAAAGAGCCAAGAAATCTTTGCTGCTCCAACCCCCTGGGCTTCCTCAGCCCCTGGGCTGCGCAGAGCAAGGATGGTGAGAGGGATCCTGCTCCTCGTTCCAGGTCCAGCATGTTCTGCTCACAAGGACTGGCCTTGGAAAAGAGCCTGGGAGCCTCTTTTGAGCCCTGGACAAAAAGCGGGCGCATCTCTGGGCTGTTTTAGGAACTGCAGCTGCTCTTTTTGTCCAGAAAAATTCTCCGGTTGCCAGCAGGAGGAGCAATGGGAGGAAAAAGGGGGAGGGAACCGGCCTGCGGCAGGTAAGGCAGGGCTCACTCACCGTCTTCTCCACCCTCCTCTAAAAGAGCCTGGGAGCCTCTTTTGAGCCCTGGACAAAAAGCGGGCGCATCTCTGGGCTGTTTTAGGAACTGCAGCTGCTCTTTTTGTCCAGAAAAATTCTCCGGTTGCCAGCAGGAGGAGCAATGGGAGGAAAAAGGGGGAGGGAACCGGCCTGCGGCAGGTAAGGCAGGGCTCACTCACCGTCTTCTCCACCCTCCTCTTCCACCTGGTCGGCCCAGCTGGGCTTTGAGCTGCGGAAAGAGCAGAGCCTTAGAGCCGCTGTCCCCCTC